TGTCCAGCTTTTCATCCACCAGTACCCCCAAGTCCTTCTCGGCAGGGCTGCTCTCAATCCCTTCATCCCCCAGCCTGTATTGATACCTGGGGTTGCCCCGACCCAGATGCAGGACCTTGCCCTTGGCCTTGTTGAACCTCATGAGTTTCACACGGGCCCACTTCTCCAGCTTGTCCAGGTCCCTCTGGATGGCATCCCGTCCCTCTGGCGTGTCAACCACACCACTCAGCTTGATGTCATCTGCAAATTTGCTGAGGGTGCCCTCGATCCCACTGTCTATGTCATTGATGAAGATACTAAACAGTACCGGTCCCAATACGGACCCCTGAGGTTAATCCCAGATGTTAACATGGGTTTTTAAATTTACTTCAGTGATTTTGGGGTCAAAACTTAGGTGCACTGGGGATTACACTGGACAACATTTGTTGTTCTCCAACACGACTGGATGCATCTGGGACTAGGCAAATTACCAAATCTTACTGTAAAGGTGTGTAATGTTCAGTAATTTACATTAGAGTCATTATCAGCTGGAAACTTAAGATGCTTTTGCTGATTGTTTATCTAATTTGTCAGGACCTACTAGATAATTCTTGCTTCCAGGCAGGTGTTTATGTAGTATAATGTGAAAGGTTTTTTTGTAATAATAATGCTGACATTTTGGCATGACACAGGTAAAATGAGCTAAAGTATATCTCAGCTTTGGAAGTCTTCATAAGCAACAAACTAATCTTCAGCGAGGTAAACACTCTGACAAAATTATCAAAACCCCAACCCCTTATATCATAATTCCTGACATGTCAGACTAAAGAAAACTGTATTAAGGCCATATTAACTAATTCTTTTTAAAAGCATTTTTTTTTTGCCTTGAAGGAGACTTTCAAATGATGGTTTAATTTTGAAGGAAATTTAAACAATGGTTATCCATGGTGGTTTTAAACTTGTGCAGCTAAGTTGCCTATCATTTTTCCAAAAAGAGGAAAGAATTAATACTTGGCAGCTATTTTAAAATAACAAATTTTGTTCTGAAGTGATTTTCTAGGCAAACTGAAATTCCAAATGTAATATAATCAGGAGACTGCATTAGGAAAATGTAGTCAGGCTATTAAATAGAATTACTTTATGATCATAACTCTACAGCAGCACATAAGAAAACAGCATTATTTCGATCACTGCTTTGGCACGATAAGACAAATGAATTAATATGATAAGATAGAGAAAAAAAATCCCTTCTAATCTATGAGTAAACAACACAATCACTTGTTTAGGAAGAATATATCTATATTTTATGAAAAGTATTGCCTTTATGTAATTACAACATATATTGCAAAGCATTAGTATAACTAAAAAGAAACAAACATTTCACAGGATATGATATTTAAAGAAATATTTTGAGGATTTACAGCTGCTTACTAATCAAACTGTGTAGATCTTCAGAACACAATTTTGGTATCATTCTAGACTGCAGACCATCCGGGTACACAAGTACATAATTCCCACTGTTTTCAATTAAATTTAAAACTGCAATAATTTATTAAAATATTATTTCAAAGCTGTATCATGCAAACATTTGTCATACAATTCAATTTTAATGCATAAAAACATACTGTATCAGCCTGAAATTTGTCTGATCTGCATAGTTAGAGATTATAAATTAGCTTTTGGGTTACTGAATTCTATTACTTTATCAGAATAAAGTTTAGTAATCTCTTCCTTAGTAAATCCGTACTCTAGAAGTATCTCTTCTGTGTGTTCTCCTATAAAAGGATCTCTTTTAAACGATGGAACAGCAGGGGTCCTTGATAGAAGAGGAGCAGGTCTAGGACTTATCTCTTCCTGATCATTTTTGATAAAAGAACTTCTTTGTTTGTTATGCTGATGTGAGGCAACATCATCAAAGGATAAAACAGGGGTCACACAGGCATCAGTACTATCAAATATGCTGCACCACTCAGCTTGTGTCTTCTGTGCAAATATGGATGCAAATTTTTTCTTCATTTTGGGCCAGTCGGAGAAACTCAACTGATTGGGAAGTTTATCTGAATCTAGCCCAAGACCTGAAAGGATAAAAGTGAAGTTTAACTGTAGTATAGCTTACACAAATTAAAGTGCTGCCCACAACTATGTATGTTCCTCACGAAGCTAATATTTTGCAGGCAGTCCAACACAGCAGAACATGCTAACAAAAAGTCACTTCAAACTTTATTATGATATCTATGATTGAGGGGGAGGGAGCAGAAGAATAACATGTTCTATTACTTGCAATTAGACTAAACCACAACAGCTACAGCCTTTTAAGTAAGTACATATAATAAACACTCATTTGTATAAGCACTTTGTAAGAGCAGCAGCTGCCTAGAGATAACGTTTCGTCCTGAGAACATTTGTAACAGGTATTGTATTCTCCACCTGGCAGTAGCAACACAAAAGTCTGCTGAATGGGTCTTGGACTACAGCAATATACTTATCTCATAGAAGCCAGTACATCTGCCAGAGCTGGACACTCAGCAGGCTACAGTGTGTCCAACACGATCAGGTTATTTCTACGCCAGAGATGAGAAGATGGCATGGATGGATATACCCAGGCTCTCTGTGCATGAGGTAGCTCAGCTGCATGTGCCTGCAGGCTAACCGACCTGCTTCTCGACTCCCTCAGTCCAAATGGACTCCAGCAGTGTTTGCTGCCCTCCCCTCTTCAGCACACCTCGTAGGCTCCAACTCTCCACTGCTGCTCTTTCGGAAAAGTAAAACCCATAGCCCTTACACTCACTAACTGCTTAAGAACTCTGCTTCCCAGAAGATCAGTCGCGTGGACCACCTAGGTATGCAATACACACATCCTTCTGAGGCACAAGAGCAGAAGACGGACACACAGGCTTTGTACTGAAAATTTCCTGAACTAGGCAGGTCCTAGGTCCTTCCCTCAACTGAGCACCACCTTCCCTCTCACTGGGGAGTTTACATCTCTCCTGTGCAGCCAGTTTCCCATCTCTGTTTCTGTTCTCATGGATTCTGCTCCCTACCCTTCCATTCTCCTACTTCAAGGAGATCCAAGAATTCTTATCACTTCTTCTAGGGTTTATCTCAAAAAGGAGGTAAGAAACAAGAAAGAGAAAAGGCAATTAAATAACACTTTCAAAATGGAGATACAAACAGAGGTACAAACAGAGTCTATGGTATCAAATAGAAATCAGAAGTGGTATATTGAAGGCTGTCCAAACAGTCACATCTTGAAATTCAGGAGCATGGACACAGCAGGAAAAATTCAGAAAAAGCAGGGCTATGAAAGAAGTTAATCTGAGAAATTAGAAAGGCTAGAGAACAACTATCATCATAATGCTTCAGAAACAACAAAAAAAGGGGAGCTGCTTAGAAAACAACAGCTCTGTATAAAAGGCAGAGAAAATGCGGAGTTCTGCAAACATTTAATTTTGAGCATTCTTTCATATGTTTAGATACTTGGTATCAGATTGATGATTTGACTTGCAATTGTTACCAGGCTTGGCTACAAGATGCCTGTTGCAGGTAGAATTTACACAGAACTCCTCTGATCTTCAGTTGTAGATAGGCAGAAAAAACTTTCTGTATCTTCTATTTCTATAGCTTCCTTATCACTGAGAGGGGTAGACATATAGCTAGTGGAACATACAGAGGAGAAGAAAGGAAGATAATATTCATTCTTCCGCTCTTTAAGTTT